ACACAAACTCCACTTATGTTAAGTGGCCTGTACAGGTATACCATTTTTATCTGTCATACAGCTTCTCTATGGTACCTTTTCTATGTCTAGCAGGTTTAGATACACACATACTTACCATGGAGTGATCACTGCCTACAGTATTCAGTACAATAACACACTGTACAGGTTTGAAACCTATGAACAATAGGCTAGACCTATATAGCCCAGGTGGGCAGTGGGTTTTACCATCTAGGTTTGTGGAAGTACACTAAGATGTGGACACAGGGCTGAAAACACCTAACAAGGCATTTCTTAGAATGTATCCCCATCACTAATCTTCTCATAACTATGTCCACGGTGGTTTGCTTGGTTTGCTTGGTTTTTCCTTTTTTTTTTTTTTGCTTTGAAACTTCAGCTCAAAGGATGTTTTTTAAATCCTGAATTTGCTTTTAGACACATAATGCACCATGAGCTTTCCTCTCTATTAGTGAAAACCTTTCAGTTTTCAGGTCCATGTTTTCACATTTCTTCAGGAGCTTGTTGGAGTCTGAAGAAGCTTCTGCTAAACCCTTCACTGCCAATATTCTTGGGAGTTCTTTTTTCCTTTCTCCTGTAGTTTCTTTTTCTTTTGTCTCTTCTTCAGCTATGCACTCCTATTCCAGTTCCAGTTGCAACCCATTAGTCAATTTCTCAAGAACCCCCTCTAGGAATTGCTCAATGTCATCCTCCTCCATACCCAGGTTAAAGTTGTTGGCCATCTCAACCACACACTTCTTGATTTTTGCAACTTCCTCATCCTTGGAAAATTCTTTGAAGTTATCGACAAACCTCGAGTGTCTTCTTCCAGGTGCCGTGCCTACAGCTCTTGGCAACACACCCCAAGCCTAAGCAAGGTTCTTGATGCTGTTCAGAATTTCGTCAGCGTCTTCTCAGTGTCTTCCTCCACTGCAGTAAAAGCCTGGGCAAGAGTCCTCCCCCTTCAGGTAGTAGATCTTAAAAGCTGCTATAACTCCTTCATCCATCGTTTCGATCCAGAAATATCACTTGATCCAAATATCACTTGATCCATCCTCGATCAAGAAATATCACTTGATCTCCTGTTTGGATCAATAAATATCACTGCAGAAAGAAATATCACTTTGATATTGGGATGAAGATCACCAATAAAAAGAGTACATGTGGGAGCATTATCAATAATAAGTAAAATCTTGAAAGATGGTTCATTCTCCAAACAGTCCTTTTCCTTTCCCTGGTACAGCAATGCAGGAGGGCATCCTGGAAGAGGAGCTGCCTCTGTCATGACTTCTCACGACTCCTGTAGTCCACTGACAATATGTGCTTGGTGCTATGCTTGAAGGCCCTGGGGTTCTCACGGCGCCAGGTCACCAAGGGTTTCAGTTGGTAGCCTGCACCATTTCCCCCAAGCAAGACTGTTACCCTGTCTATAAAAGCCTTGAAACCTGACGTTGACTTGCCTTCCTTATGGATAAAAGTCATTTCAGGCATCTCTTTCCAGAATAGGGAGGTTTCATCCATACTGAAGGTTTGCTCTGGCAAATACATTTCCTCCACAGTCAGCTTATCTACAGTTTCCAAAAATTCTTCAGCTGCCTTCACATCAGCACTCACAGACTCACCATTCACTTTTATATTATATAATAAGAACGATTCTTGAGTCATTTAAACCACCCGAGCTAGCAATAAATTCAACATTCTAGTCGAATCCAGCCTTTTCTTTCAACATCACGAAATTTCTGTTTTGGCTGGGCTCATCATGGGGCTGGGAGGAATAATACACGTGTGTATCTAGTCTTCAATCCGGGTCATAAGAAGTTTCTCTGTATCTGGTATCAGCCTTTCTTAAATTGTTGACAGTCTCATTGCCATCAATGAAGCAGATCGTTTCAACTTTTATCACTTTGTTCTTGTTCTCCAAGATCGTAGCTATGATGGAATGCAACCTACGTGCCTGGCAAGCAATAATGGTCACCAATTTTCCACCTCCCTTAAATCACTTTTAATTTCATTTCCAGGTCAATCACGGATATGGTTTGCCTGTGTCCCCACCCAAATCTCATCTTGAATTGTAGTTCTCATTATCCCTACGTGTCATGGGAAGAAGAACCAGGTGGAGATAATTGAATGATGGGGACAGTTTCCCCCATCCTGTTCTCATGATAATGAGTTAGTTCTCACAAGATCTGATGGTTTTATAAAGGGTTTGTCCCTTCAGTGGGCACTCATTCTTCTCTCTCCTGCTGCCATGTGAAGAAGGATATGTTTGCTTCCCTTTTGGCAGTGATTGTAAGTTTCCTGAGGCCTCCTCACAGTGATGAACTGAGTCCATTAAACCTCTTTCCTTTTTAAACTACCCAGTCTCAGGTATGTCTTTCTTAGCAGCGTGAGAACGGATAAGTACCATTACTCAATGTGGCCTCTCTTTGGCAACATTAGCCATGGATTCTGTATGCTTAGGAACCATGACGAACAAAACAACATGAAATTAAATCAAGCACAAGAGAAAATGATGCAGTCATGAAAAAATGAGATGAATGAGGCCACTGCCAGTATGACGCAGAATACTGTTTTATAGTAAACACTTAGTTTTTATAAGCAGAAGCAGCACACTCTAAAACAATGATTAAAATTATAGTACAGCAGCCGGGTGCAGTGGCTCACACCTGTAATCCTAGCACTTTGGGAGGCCAAGGCGGGTAGATCACCTGAGGTGAGGAGTTCGAGACCAGCCTGACCTACATGGAGAAACCCCTGTCTCTACTAAAAATACAAACCCGGGCATGATGGTGCATGCCTGTAATTCCAGCTACGCAGGAAGCTGAGGCAGGAGAAGTGCTTCAACCTGGGAGGCAGAGGTACTGACGAGCCGAGATCGTGCCACTGCACTCCAGCCTGAGCGACAAGAGTGAATTTCTGTCTCAAAAAAAAGTATAGTACAGTAAATACATAAGCCTGTACCATAGCTGTTTATAATCATTATCAAGTATTATGTACTGTACATATTATATGTGCCGTACTGACAGTGAGGTAAGTTGGTTTATATCAGCATCACCACAAACACATGAGTAATGTGCTGAGTTGATATTATAGAGGCTACATTACTAGGTGACAGGAATTTATCAGTGCCATCAGAGCGGACTACTGTCATATACACATTCCTTTGCTGACCAAAACATCATTATGCAGTGCACGACTGTACATGTGAAGTGTAGGTTACATGGGTTCTGCCAGGCAGCTCTGCTAACTCAAATGCCTGCCAAGATTCTCAGAGGCAAGACCACGTCTCCCACATTCCCTCTAATGCAACATCTCCTGGAGGACTGTCCTTCTGCACAGTTATTCATGGGGGCTCAGGCTGCCTGTGCAGTCTATTCAGTGTTGGATTGGTGATTCATCACCCTGTAGATGAGGCCTGTCAATCAGATTCCCCTCCTGGAAAAACTAAAACACCTGCTGGAACCACAGTGGGAAGTGTAGCCGAAAAGATCGTTTTTATAAGCGCCACGATGCAGAAAGGCTGGGGCCAAAAACATGCAGAAAACTTTAAAGCAGATCCCAGGATTTAACAAAGAAAGCCTGTGGGCAGGGAGAGAGCCGGGGACAGAGGGGGAGGGCGGACAGCGGTGGGGCCATGAGGGAGACAGAGACACATACACAGGCTTGCTCTCCTTCCAGCTTCTGTTTTCAGCTTTGGTCTGCACATCTCTACATTAAAACGCCTTTTTCCTAAGGAAACTTGAGTGAGCTCCTCACAGTCCCAAGAGCCCTAGGAAAAACGCTGTCTAAAACACAAAACACCACGTGCTGTGCCCAGCACTTCTGAACTCATCTTCGACAAGTGAGGCAGCCCTTTTCTTTTCTGCACAATCACCCAGATGGGATCAGAACCCATTAGGATCTTTCCACTCTGCTGTGCCAAGAAAGGGGGTAGGGAAAGGATGAAATCAATTTCTTTAACCATCATTACTGAGTGCTTTGCTGGTGCTCCTAAAAGGTAGGAGGTGGCACCATGCGCTTAATCAATGTCAGCGCTCTCTGGGGACCCACTGTGCAGACACTCCCAGTAATGACGATGACTCCTTGTTCTCCAGCAGGGGGTGATGGGAGATGCACTCAGGGTGACAAAGAGGAATGCATGCATACACTTCTGACACACACCCCTGGAAAGGGTCCTAGGGGGGTGTTAAGGGTGCTACCGGCATGGAATGTCACAACTCTGAAAAAAAAAAGGGAGAGGAAGAGGCTGTCCCTGTTACCCGGAAAGAAATGTAACAGAAAGGAAGTGGGGCTTTCAGAAAATGCCTTGCCCACGTTAACCCTTCAGAGATTGGCGAAAGATGCATCTGATGTACAATCTTTTATTCAAATAAGGTGATGATTTATATGTGTTTCACTACAATGCCAATTAATAAGAAATTTCCATCTCACTATAGAGTCATTCAGGGGAATTTCCAAGACATGGTCCTGAAGCCTCCCTTTAATCCTGAGAACCTTGGCCGGCATTTGAGTTAGCAGAAATGTTTGGCACAACCCATACAATCTACACTATTCACATACATAGTCATGCACTGCCTGACATTTTGGTCAATGATGGGCGTTAAGACAGTGGACGTAAGACCACATGCACATGAGACAGTAGTCTCACAATATATTAAGGTAGCTGAAAGACGTCTGTCCCTAGTGATTGGAACGTCAGCTCAATGCATTACTTATGTGTCTGTGGGGATCCTGGTCTAAACAAACCTACACCACCACCAATATTGCATATACAATATGTACAGTAAGAACTCGGCCAAAACTGAGCTGCTTTTGGTTCTTGGCTGCAAAGTGGAACAGCTGGATGACCCAGGGCTCGGTACTTGCCAAATCTGATCCTCTTTCCATAAAATCAACTCAGATACAGTGATGTAGTCTTAGGTGAGTACAGCATTTCCTATTTTTCGAATATGTTCCCATACATTATTTGATCCATACAATAAACAACAGTTTTGCTATTTCATCCAAAAACCCTTTATTGGCCCAGATGATATTCCCAGCCACAATTCCGGTGCTAGAAGTCTGGTGCATGTTAGAAGCTTGTGGTTGCTGAAAGACGCTGCTGCTGAGGGGACAGTAGCTGATGCAAGTAGAACTCTCTGCCCCACTCCCTCCTTGCACACAAGCAATCTGGAGAATACCAGGTGCAGTGCACATGTTGATCTGAGTTTCAGAAAGAGCAAAGCCCACAGGATGTGTCCAGGCACACAAAAGGGCTCACCCCTTCTCTAGAATTGTATCAGAAACTATGGGTGTCAGGGAAGAGTTCTCAGAGTAGGTCCCAAAGCACCTAAAAGACTGCTTATCTTTTCCTTCCTGTTCTAGTAGTGATTTTTCTCATTCTCTCTCCTTCCCCTTTTAAAAGTTAGTTTCTCTTCTACTTTTCTCATCTCTGAATATCTCTCCTTTTCTCTCCCAAGTCCCTGAAGCCTTCCCCAATACTCTAGCCCCTTTCCTTTAGGGCAGGCCATTTTTCTGCTGTGGGCAGGAACCTGGCACTGGAGAAACCCACCATCTACACAGCTAATTTAGTACATGCCAAAGACAGTTCCTGCCGGGCGGTGGCTCAGGGCTGCAATCCCGGCACTTTGGGAGGCCAAGGCGGACGGATCACAAGGTCAAGAGACGGAGACCGTCCTGGCCAACATGGTGAAACCTCATCTCTACAAAAACACAAAAATTAGCTGTGCATGGTGACGTGAACCTGTAGTCCCAGCTACTCAGGAGGCTGAGGCAGGAGAATCGCTTGAACCCGGGGAGGCGGAGGTTGCAGTGAGCCGAGATTGCGCCACTGCACTCCAGCCTGGGCGGCAGAGCAAGTCTCCATCTCAAACAACAACAAGACAGTTCCAAAAGTTCTACATGTACGCATTCACTTACTCATCACGACAACCTCATCAGATAGACACTTCTTAGGCCAGTTCTCACAGGTGAGGAAACAGAGGCACAGAGCCACCTAGGCTGAGAGGTTCAGTCACCAGCCCAAACTCGTACCTCCATTGTGTGGCAGTGCAGGATTTGAACCAAGAACTGTGACCCTGCGTGCCCTGGCCTGAACCCCTGTACTACACAGCAGCCCTCTGATGAATCAAAGGCTGGGGAGCTCTCCTCTCTTCCACTGCAAAAGGCTGATCTCTCTCCAGCTGGAGCATGCGGCGGTGGAAGGATGCAATGACCCCAAGGCCAAACTGTGCCTCTTTCCTCTAACATTCCTCGGAAAAGTTGCGAAAGAGGTAGTCTCACTAAGGGGCTCAGAACCATGAAAGCAGATGTACATGACTTGTGTACTTCATTTAGCATCCAAACCCTGCACTCTGCCATTCAGCAACATAAGTCTCCACCGCCCCTGCTTCCCTGTAAAAGAGGTAAGGCTAAATAACTGCAAGTCTAATCCGCAAACCCCAAGCACCAGCCTCCGCGTCTGGGAGGAAAAAGCGGCGGCAGGCGAGCCACGGCAAGGGCTGCGCCAGGGCCGACTGCGGTGCCCGGCTGTGGCTCCGAAAGCGATTCTGGACGCCAGTGTCCCCCAGCCCAGCCACGCTCCTCCCTTTCCCCTCCCTAAATCCCAAATCGAGTCCCGCGCCCTTAGAGGAAGTAGGTCGCCCGCAGGAGATCGGCCCCTTCTCCCCACCGTGCCCCCGACTCAAGCTCTTCTGGGCGTTGCTATCTTCTCGGTGCGTGCCAGTCTTCTTTCTGAAACGGACCTCAGTGGCTCCCGGACCGCCCGGGAGCTCTTCCCTAGCCCCGCCAGCTTGAGGGCGGTGTCCGGGGAGCGGGGAGCTCCTCTAGGGGCGCCGATTAGGTCCCCGCGCCGCCGCCGCCGCCGCCTCCGGCGTCTCCCAGGCCCGGACTGTGCCGAACCCGCTGCGGTCCACGTGGCTTGGCAGAGCTAAATTCGGCTCGCAGGAAGCCCGGAGCCAGGGGAAAGCCGAGCCGAGCCGGGGTGGGAGGGGGCGAAGGCAGGCGCGGGGCCGGGAGGGGCGGGCGCTGGGCGGAGGCAGGGGAGGACCGCGCGCGGGGGAGGCGGCGGCCGGGCTCTGGCGCGCACCGGCTCCCGGCCCTGCCGGCCAGGGAAGGCGGCCCCTCCCCGGTCGCCCCGCCTTTCACTCCCGTTACACTCGGGGGAAGGTGTTCCCGAGCCCGCTCCCACCCTCACCCCGCCTCCTCGCTTTCCCGGCTCCAGTCTCCGCCGGCGGAGCCCACTATGCCAGACAGTTTCGACACTTTGCAAAGACAAAGAGCCCTAGACCGGAGGGAGGAGGAGAAGGAAGAAGAGGAGCGGAACGAGAAGGAAGAGGCGATGTGAGCCTGGAAGGGGGCGAGCGTCCGGGACACCCACACCCCTTTCTTCTCCTCGGAACCCCCTCATGCCTGAATCCCGGAAACTCCAGCGTGTCTCCAGCAGTGGTGAGTGCGAGTGCGGAGGCGAACCCTGCTCGGGGTGCGCGGAGGCTGAGTCCGCCGGAGTTGGGGCTCCGCAGTTTCCTGTGGATTCTCGGAGTGGAGGGTTGATTGTCTGGACCCGGGAACTGAAGGAGTGTGGAGGGGACTCAGAGGGTGTGACAGTGGAGGTGGGACTGAAGCCCCTAGGATTCTAGTGGAAGACACTCGTAGGGAAACCCCTTCTTAGCCACGGCGACCACCCAGCAGGGCTCTGGGAGAGGAAGAAGGTCAGGGGGGAATTTCGGGCTTAGAGGTCTTCGGCCGTCTCTGGAGGAGCTGCCTGGAGCTCTGCGGGGAACCTACGCCAAGTCCCGGGCAGCGGTTCCCGAAAGCAGCCCCAGTGACTTTGCACCCGGCGCCGGGCTGGGATCTCCCTGGCTGGGGCCGCCCGTGGGAGGAGACCTCGCTGGGTGGCCGGGCTCAGGCGCTCTCGAGCGGATCTGGGGTCACAGGCTGGGACACCGCGGAGGGCGCCAGTGATCTGTACCAGCGGTAGTGGGACAGTATCCGGATCGAATCCCCCAGTCTGCTGCAAGCAGGCGCAGACCCGGAAGGTGGCTCTTGGCCCTGGGGTCGTCTTCAGCGCGCGCTGCTCCGGACCCGGGGGTGAAGTTGGCACCCGGAACGAGAGAGCGGAACGCGACGTGATGGACAGTGGGGGACGCGGGTGGGCCAAGGGGAGCACGGCCGGAGTGGTGTTAGTGGCAACTAGAAACTCTGAATCCGCCCCAACCCCGTTAGAAGCCGCAGCTCCTGAGAAATAATCTGACAAAAGTTAGCAACTTGCCGGTGTCTCTCTCGTGTGTGACCTGCGTGGGGCAGAGCCACCCCTTCTCAGAGCGTATGGTGGAGGGCAGCGGTGACACTGGGGCGAGGCGCCCTGGTGAGGGTACAGTTAGTTTGGAATCGGGACAGTGGCGCAACTTTCAGCTCCTCCTTTCTCTGCGCGAGTGTTTGAGCGTGACCTTGCGGGAGGAAACGCGGCTGAACTTGAGATGGGGGTTGAGTCTGCGCCCCTGCTTGGTACAGAGACGCGGTAGCGCGCCTTCACCTGGCCTTGCAGCCAGGTCTCCCGGGAAGCGTGTGGGGATTCTCCCTCCTCTCTCCTACGCCAGGGTCCTCGCCGGCCATACCACGCGCAGGGCTCGCTGGTACATTCGGCGAGGGGACACGTGCACGCCCCGAAGCGCGCAAGTGGGTGGGGGTTGGGCAGGTGATTGCGTCTCATGGGCCGGGCGAGTCCGGCAGAGGGAGACAGCCGTGACCCTGAGGGCAGTGACTGGCTCGCCGCGTCCCCCCATCAGGCATTCGCCTGGCTTTCTCGTGATTCTTCCCGGGCACCCCTGGCCTCTCCCGACTTCTCCCCCTCGCGGGTCCCCATGCCCCTCAAATTTGCGAGGAGCTGGTTCTCTAGGGAGACAGCGAGCGCCCACCCCCGCTCTGCGGCTGGTTGTGTGTGGTGAGAGGAAGAGATGGGAGGAGGAGGCAGACTTGCCAACGAGGAAAACGGGGTGAGAAGGGAGCCGGGTTGTCCAGAGGTCTCCAGGGCGCCTGGCATGTAGTAGGTGCTAAGCTGTGTTCATTGATAAGGCCCCAAGGTGGAAGGTGCTGGCAGAGTCCGGGATGCCCCCTTCTTCCCTTCCAGTCTCTAAAATGGAATTCATATGTATCGGTCAAGCCCTTTGTGCTCTAGACGTGCCTGGAGTACCTACTACGTGCGGGCTTTACTCCTGGCCTGTTCCTAGAAGCTGCGGGCGGAGCCTCCTGGTTTTCTTTCCCGAACGCTGCCCGGGCTCCCGGAGGCTTCAAAAAGGCAAAGTGCACTGCCCCCTGCCGGCTTCTATGGAAACTGCCGCTTGGCTCCGCGGTGGGGAAGGGGCGCGCAGTGCTGGGGTAGCGCTCAGTGCTGGGGTCCCTCACAGTGCCTTCCTGCACTTCCCCTTCCTGCCCCAAACATCAGGATCCCGGACGGCTGTTTTCTAGTTGGCTGAAATGACTGACCAGAGTTCACCACTCCGTGCCCCCGGCCTCTGCCAAGCTCTGGGTACAGCGTGGGAGCCTTTTCTAGTCTCCCGTCTCTCTGTCTCTGTCTCTCTTACTTTGGTCGTGAGACTTAACCTCCTTCACCTCTGGGCATCTCAGTTTCCACATCTCAAAATGAGGCCAATAATACATTCTCCAAAATACGTTCTGCAGAATAGCCAGTGTGTGGATCTCATACATATAACTAAGTGAATGTGTGTATATATAGGTAGTTCACATTCTAATGTGTGTATGTACGCATGTATGTACACACTCTAATGCGTGCGTATACCTTGGGGGAAGGAGTTCCATCATACAGTTTTTGCTAAACAAATAAAGAATAAATAGAGGGCTCCTTCTGCCTTTTCAAAATCCCACAAACCCTGAAATTTGCTTTCCCTGCTTTTCTCTGGGCTGGCATTTGCCGTTTAGGGGTCTGATTAGGCAAGGCCTGGACTTGAGCAGGGTCTTTGTCGCCTACCTCCCTGGCTGGGAGGTCACAGCATCCCACCCGGGAGGAGAGAGAAAAACAGAAAGTGTTGCTAGAAATGATGGCAGAGGGTTTCTTACAGGGGACGGAGGCTGTTCTTCGAAGCTCTGCCGCAGCCTGCGGAAGCTGCATTCTGAGCGGCCTTCCTGCTTACTGCAGACAGGGCTGCGTTCTCCCCACTTCCCTGGCCCTGTCACCAGCCCTCCTGACCCGCACAGAATTGGCTGTCACTGATATAGGAGCCCTTGTTATGGAGATGACACTGACTGTGAGCTGGTTCTAGGTCCTTCTAGGTCCTGGATCTTTGGAGGCGAGGTAGAGCTCTGTCTCCCCTACCCACCAAGCAGCCCCCAAGCCAGCTCACCACCCAAAACCTGGCAGTTGACATTGCCCAAAGGGTGCCTCTCCCATGTGTGACTCCAAGCTCTCTGGTCACTTAACCTTGCTTGAATCAGCTCCTGTGTAGAAGATTGCTGACTCGAAGGGTTTATATTTGGGTAGAGCTTTGACCGCGGATGGAAACTTGACCCTCACCTTAGGCCCCTCCCACACCACAAAAAGCAACCAGGAAAGCAAAACATAAAATCCACCAGTCATCTTGTAAAGGCTTTCCAGTGAGTTCTGCGTGCCTGTATGCACGCACTCCGCATGGCGATGGAAAAGCTGAATTGGTCACCAAGAATTCTAGAATAAGACTTACATGCAGCTTCGTTCAGTTGTGTAGCTTCTGTGGAAACTTCAGCTTCCCCACTTGCACACCTAAGGATCTGAGAGCTCTCTTCTGCTGTAATTTGGTCACAGGAGCCCAGAATGGGGCCCTGTGAGAGCCTGCATTTGAGTCCCGGTGCCAGCGCTCAGGCTCAGTTCCTTTGCAACTCAGCTCCCAAACTATTCCAGACTCTGGGTCTCGGTTTCACTCTAAGAATGAGAGACTTGGCCGGGCACAGTGACTCACACCCGTAATCCCAGCACTTTGGGAGGCCAAGATGGGTGGATCATTTGAGGTCAGGAGTTCAAGATCACCTGGCCAACATGATGAAACCCAGCCTCTACCAAAAATACAAAAATTAGCTGGATATGGTGGTATGCGCATGTAGTCCCAGCTACTCAGGAGGCTGAGGCAGGATAATCGCTTGAACCCGGGAGGTGGAGGATGCAGTGAGCTGAGATCACGCCATGGAGCTCCAACCTGGGTGACAGAGTGAGACTTTGTCTCAAAAAAAAAAAAAACAGAGAGAGAGAGAGGCTGTAGAGTTCTGCTGCCCGTCACCATGGGTCGTCCATTAAAGCTTCTCTTTGTGAAGACAGTCCCCACCTCCATTGCTCCAGCAAGCATCACCCTCAAAACCCTCCCAGTATCACAGAGAGCCCTGGCTGGGGGCGGCTGGACTGTCTACTACCCCATGCCAAGGGCGCCTGACCTTTCACAGAGGGTCAGGACTATTCAGTGTTTACCACACTCCCTTGGCAAAGTCATTTTCTAGCTGTTCTCGACACTAGATGTTGAAAGCAGTCCCAGAAGTTTCAGTCTCTGAGGTCTGAAACCTGACAGAGCCAGGGTACCATCTGGGGGGACTCCGCAATGGTACGTATTGCAGAAGGAACGCCAGTGACCTCGCCAGGGCCTGTTTACTTCCCATCTACAAGCTGAACATGACCTTAGAAATCAGTTTGGTCAACCCTTTCACTTTAATGCAAAAATAGCAAAGCTCAGAGGGGAAGTCCCTGGACTGTAAAAACCAGGGTTTGTTGTTTATTTGGTCTTGTTGGTGGCAGTGGTTGGGTTGTTTTGATTTTGGTTGAGCCAGCATTTATTGAGAACTCATTACCTTCCAGGAGCACCATGCAAGGTGCTGAGATACAGAGAGGAAAGAATACGCGGTCCTTGTTCCTTGCTGTCCTAGAGGTCACAGTGCCCTGGGGAGGGGGACAAGGACATACCTAGTCAGGCTGGGTATGGAAATACACAGGTGCTAAAAATTAGCCTGTAATCCCAGCTACTCGGGAGGCTGAGGCAGGCAAATCACTTGAATCCGGGAGGCAGAGGTTGCAGTGAGCCAAGATCTCGCCATTGCACTCCAGCCTGGGGGACAAGAGCGAATCTAAGTCTCAAAAACAAAACAAAACAAAAAGAAATATGCAAGTGTTAAGCAAAATGGGAACAGAGAAGGGAAAGGTTCCCTGCACCTTGAGGGACCCACTGAGGGTGTTCTAGAGATGGGTGAGTCAGACTGCGAGAGAGCAAAGGTATCTTCTTGCGTACATTCAATATCAAAGCATCTAGTGCCCTGTGTGTGCAAAAAACAATAATAAAATAAATGCATAGATTGGCTGTAAGCCTGTTCCGCATGGTCTGAAGAGTTAAGGGAACTGAGAATTCTAGAGGTTCAGTGCTTTGGCACTGAAGGTTTCCCTTCGAAGATCCTGATCTCTGGTTTGTTTGTGTGGGACG